ATGGTCAAGGCTTTTTTGAGTACTTGCATGGGGTAAGGCTTTTAGTGCTTGCACGGGGCAAGGCTTTTGATGCTTGCGCAGGGCAAGACTTTGAGTGCTTGCACGGGGCAAGGCTTTTGATGCTAGCGCAGGGCAAGGCTTTTAGTGCTTGCTCAGGGCAAGGCTTTTAGTGTTTACTCGGGGCAAGGCTTTTAGTGTTTGCTCGGGACAAGGCTTTTAGTGCTTACGCGGGACAAAGCTTTTAGTGCTTGCTCGAAGCAAGGCTTTTTTGATAGTGAGATCAAATTTCAATGAATAGCTAAATTCTTATTGTACTTTGAAAATAGACTTAGCTCACAGGCCTGAAAACTGAAAACGTGAACCTTGGCATGCAGGCCAGACTAACAAAAATAAGACTTGGCACGCAGGCCCGAGAACCGAAAACGTGAACCTTAGCATGCAGGCCTGACTACTAGAAATTGATTACTTGCAATATATTTTTAAATTTTTGGCGTTCCATGGTCTTGGAAGTGGTCTTCCTGATATATCCCTTAAACTGTACGCACCTCCTTGAAGCTGTCGTATGACTTCGAAGGGCACTTCCCAAACTGGTCCTAGCTTGCTCGGAGCATGACCTGCTGCTTCGACCCTTCTTAACACGAGGTCTCCGGCCCTAAATCTTCGTGTCCTCACTTTTTTATTGAAATACTTTGCTGTTCTATCTTTGTAAGAAGCCATTCTTAAAGCTGCCTGATTGCGAACTTCTTCCAAGAGGTCGAGGTGTTCAGTGGTGTGCCTTGCATCTTCGGGCTCAAGTCTTCTTTGGCTAGGCAACCTGACTTCAATAGGGATGGCAGCTTCAATACTGAAAGCCAACATGAATGGGGTTTCCCCCGTAGTAGTTTTGTGGGACGTTCTATATGTCCAAAGTATGGAGGGTAACTCATCAAACCAGGAACCTCTTGCCTCTCCGATCCTTGTACGAGGTCTTGTAATATAATCTGATTGGTTACTTCGGCAAGACCATTACTTTCGGATGGGAAACCGATGTTAGACGGTGATCAATCCCTAGGTTGGAGCAGAAGTTTTTAAATTGTGCATTGTCAAACTGCCTGCCATTATCAGTTATGA